TGTGGGGGTGAAGGGGAATAGGGTGAAGGGGTTCACCCCCCGCGAAGGGGGAAGCATCGTAGCAGTAACTGCCGTTACTTGTCGTGAAGTCGTCGGATACTCGGAGCGCTGAAGAGGTCATGGGGGAAAGGATGAAAAATTAATCGAATGATATTAAGTATACTTCATTAAAATAATTTTGTTTGAAAATATATTTAATATGTGATATAGAAGAGTATTTTTTTCAACATTAATGCATGGAACGATAGATACAAAGTATATTTCAAAATAAATATTTTTTTGGAAAATAGGTTTTCATGTGCAATGTAAAGGAGTATTTTTTTCAACATTAATGCAAGTAACTAAATCCGGGCTGGAAAGTGCATTTGTAACGAAAATAGGCAAGTTTCTTACAATTGTTGAATCAATAATTATATATCAATCTAAAATGAACACAAAAATATGTATACATACATAAAACAAGGTCTGAAAAATTATAGGAATGTAGGCCATGAATAAAAAGATTAAAACAATGAAATTTGGAATTAAACATAACCCCTGGTAGATAATAAAGAATTTTACAGAAGATAATACATAGTCTGTGTAGCTCGTCATACAAGCCATACATTCCCCTGCATTCCATATTATAATTGCATTCTGTACATAACTTGCATTTTCGAGACATTATATTTTCCAGACATTCTGCAGCTCCACAATATTGTTGAGTTACCCTAAAAATCAACTTTATATTTTCTTTATCGATTTCACTTGAGCTCATTCATTCTCTTCATTCATTTCATGAACAGCATTCAAATCGCTATATCTGTTCATCAAGTTCATGAAAAGCCACCTTATCAATGCTCCAGTTCATTCATTTTCAGACATTTCTTACAAACTACATCACATGTGGAGTGAAAATCCCGAATACGAACAATTCTGAAGACGGCGGAATGAGGAAGGAATGAGGGACCAGACGTCATAAATTACTGAGCTTTCACGGCATGAAGGTGATTATGGTTAGCATCTCTCAACGAGAAGCGAGGAAATGTAAATGGCCAGCCGTAGCCAATTACCGCTTACCGATCGCTGGCCATTTATCGACCATCTGAAAACCGCCCGTAGTACAAAAATCCGCGCTGGCTCAAATATTCCTTTACAAAGACTACATGTTGGAGAAAAGCAGCTTCCAATGTCAGAATAGAGCAATTATTTCACACCGTGGTCGCAAATACCTCCCCACCAGCATTTTATGTTGAATTAAACGTTGTTTGGTTGAATCAACTTATAAAGTCAACCTTGTTTCAAAGTCATTTGCCTCGCGGGCTTTACCGCTCTCTCAACACCAGCCTTAAGGCCGCGGCTTCGACTCCTGCATTACCATCCAATACGCTGCGCATCATGTAACAATTGGTGACATCATCAGAGCATCACTGCACCCACAGCTCTTCACAGAATCACTGTGCCAACAGCTCATCACTGCACCACTGCACATGTCATCATTTACTTATTTATGGGCGTTGAACTTAATTTGCGAGTTATCCAAGCTAAAACATTGCATTTAAAGGCTAAATTAAATTATTAGTTAATACTTAATCAGGGTTAAACATATAGTGTGCGTTATAGATATATGTTGAATTTATATGTTCTCGTGGTTTGAATTTACCTATATTTGTCTAGCATATCTTAGAGTCAACGAATAATAGTTTATCTGTCTTTGGATAAATTATTTATCAAAACGTCTTAATTAATTCAAGTCTTTTGAGTTTGGCCAAACACCTAATTCCAGTGTCTCTAAACCTAACTTCAATCAAGTTTCAGTAGCAGCTAATTTCAGTTGTAATATGTTTTTTAAATAGTTTGGAAAAATTTAAATGGTGATTAGAAAAATTGATGCAAAATATTCTGATGACGGAATGATTCTACGTAAACGTAGTGAATGATTTCCCATCATTGATTGGCGGGTTTAATTTGAATAGCTGTCAGTGATTGGCTGGCTGACGAATGTACGAATTTACGAACTTTTTTGGCGCATTTTTTCATTTATAGAAAAAACGCTATTGTGCTCGTCATGTCCGTCCGTCTGTCCGTGACGTCACGTTTTCGTCGACGAGAAAATGCGCTCTCTGTCACTCACTGCAGTGAGTACTGAGTTATATTTTTCTGAAGCATTGCCCCAGACGAATGAGATAGACGAGGTTAATAAAAGATAAGTACAAAGGTCCCAAAAGTTTAATGGACGTCAGAGTTTCTCGAGACAAGAAAGTATACAACTAACAGACAATAAATATTATTTAAGGATATTTAAGAGGCCCGTTCATCTACACTAATACGTCACTACGAATAACAATAAATAAATAGATTTTATCAACCTAGAAGGTAACCGAAACTACAACTTACGCACATATTGTTCCGCGTAGAAAAATTTCACGCGCTTTATGTGCGCACTAAAAGAAAACAAAATCTTCTGCGAAGTGAAACTGGCGACATTTGTACAATTATTAATGAGGTGCGACATTACTGATACTGAACTGATACAAAGCATCAGTTGAGTATTGATGATACTTAACTGATACTTTGTATCAACAAACAGCGGCCAACATAGCCCCAATATCTGTCTTTATAAATACCGTACTTCACCTCGTGCTTAACTCCTTCAATAATCTGGTCATAGTCCACGCCGGAACTACCGTGAGCACGGCCACGGCTAGTAGTTAACAGTATTACAAATTTTGTTAGATTTAATTTATAGAATTAACCGTCACAGACACATCATCTCCGTCATTTGATGTTGACAAAGTTATTCCTACCTAAGTGGCGGAGATTTGATTCATTACTTTACGGGCGCATAAATTAATAGTTTGTACGATTTTCTTATAACTGTTCGTAACCTGTCTTTGCATTACAGCACAGAGAAGTGATGGACTTTCGTTATGCTTACGAATTTAAAAGTTCACACATTAAAAAATTAATAAAATTTTTCACTGCACACCCTGTATTCAGATAAAATAATAAAAAGCCGCTGCTATAAAAAAACATATTTTTGGCGAAGTTTTTTATGGTAGCAAAAGTAATAACCTTGAGCCATAATAATCTGAGAGCCTCAATACCTTCGTTAACTAATAACATAGTTATATATTTTTTTAACAGCTGAGTTATTAGTTAACTATTGGACGGCATTCACTGGTCACCCATCCCCCCATTCACTGGCCGCCCCCCACACCGGGGTGGTAGTACATGACGGCGGGGGCGGGGAGCTGCCATCTTGCTGCGCTCATCTCGATCAGCTGCAGCAACGTCTTCCGTACGGCGCTGGGCTTGTTGATGTTAGGCCAGTCGCCGCCCGGCTTGTTGTCGCTAGACCCGTTCATGCTCGGCCCGTTGGTGTACGGCCTAGTTGTTATAGATCGGTTGTCACTAGGCCCGTTAGTGCTGGACTTGTGGTCGTTAGACAAGTTGGTGCTTGTCATGTTAGAGCTCAGAAGAGCGTCCCGAGCTGCAGACATGACACGTGGCATGATGGATGGTAGACATGACTCCATGTCAAGCCCAACTCCCGTCAGGATGAAGAAGAGGCTCTCGATCTGCGCAATGTTGAACATTTATATAGTGATTTTTATATGTCCTCATGCATATCTATTATATAGTAGTATAAGCAATATCTTTATTTAAGTAAGGTGTTTTTAAATATTCTCGTTTCAGGTGGGTGCAAAAAATTCATTATTTGCAAAATTTTATTGAATTTGCAATTTTCTATTTGCATTTTTTTCATTATTTGCGGCAGCAATTTTTTAAAGCTTTGCTTTTTAAAGCTTTAATTTGTTAAGTTTGCTAAAGCAAATTTGGTTGTGCCTGAAGCGATTGTTTTCTTAGAACGGTTCAAGCAGTCAGTCTGTCAGTGACGTTCACGCGTGCATGTACAGAAAAAATCAATTGTATCAAAGTGTAAAAGAAGTGACACACTTTCTTAGCCACATCAGGAGCAGAGAGCGGATGTATTAATTACGGATGTATAATGTATAATGAGCGGATGTATAATCTCTTGTTGTCAGGCCAAACTGGGTCAGGATGACCCACAAAAACGTAAAAAATGCAGCGCTATTTTGACGTGGCGCAAAATATTCGTGGCGCGTTTGAGATTAAAAAGCTTTTAAATTTTGAATGCGGGTTTGATATTCTCGCACCTGAGTTGTTAGTAATTGAACAGATAAAAAATTGAATGTGCACTTAGAAAAATAAATGGGTCATATTTCCCAAATAGTGATAAACATTCTGCTCGCAGTACTGTTCCATTTTTTAAATTCAACTCGAAAATTCAACCAAACCTAAAAATTTATTCACTTTAAAGCGGCAAAAAATTGTTATAATTTCACGAATGTCAGGAACCCATTTCTTGAATAAAATTCAGGCAGGACCAAAATGGGAGCCAGCAGGTTTTGCAGTGCTAGCAGTTGTTCCAGTGCCAGGAGTTGCTGCAGTGCCAGCAACTGCACCAGTGCCAGCAGTTGTTCCAGAGCCTGCAGTCGCTGCAGTGCCAGCAGCAGCTGCAGTGCCAGCAGCAGCTGTAGTGCCAGCAGTTGCTGCAGTGCCAGCATATGAGCTGGCAGACAGCAGTTTGTCTCTTTCCTGGTAGTATTCCTGACAGGAATTGAGCAGCGTTTCCAAGAACGTCTCCACTGCAGTTTCTCTCTGTAACCACAAACAAACCGCATGTTATTGATACCAACAATATTATTAAGGCTAGTAGTCAGATTCCAGGGAAGTCTGAGAGCGAGGTTTTCGCGACCATCGTGCGAAATCCTCGATCTGCCCGAAGCTCGGCCAGTCGCTACCCTCGAGCTTGTACTCTTTGTAATATGACTTCCTAGCCAGCCCCTTTCTCACGGCAACTGGTCGCTTTCAGGTGGCCGAGGAATGGATAGCGGTCGGCTATAACTAATTGGACTAGGCCGACCACTAGCCACGTATTATTCCTCGCCTCTCATTGAGTTCGCCTTCATCATGCCGCCCGTCGTGAACTGACAGTTCAGTTATTTACGACGTATCTTTCCCCTCATACTTTCCACAACGCCCACATTTGAGCAGTTAGTATGCGAGATTTTCCCTCCTCCTATCAGCATGCTCGATCAAAGCTAGTTTTGGGTAGATAATTTCTACAAAAAGGAGGCTGATCAAGGAATGCCGAGTGTACCATTCAATGGAGAATAAAAATTAAAACTCGGTGACATCTCGAAAAAAGTGTAAAAAACGCAGACTTGATGAACAATAATATTCAAAGTTTATTGATTTTTTTTTCATTTTAACTCTTTTAATACAAAGTTTACACATTTTTTGTTCTTGGTCACCTTTTATAAATAAATAGCTGGGTTGGGTAAGCATGGAAAAATCCATATCGCCATCTCGTTTATGAGTGGAGTAAAGTCTATCCGAATTTGTGAAGAAACTCTTAGGGAAGAGCCGAGTCTGTTCGAAGCCTTGCGGTTCTCAATGAGAGCCTTAATATTATTTTTAGAACTCAAAAGTGGTATTTACTGGACCGACAATAAATAAAATCTCATACATATTTTTTTGTGCCATTTTGCTTTCATACAATTTTTTTGTTCTGCCAATTGTTGCAAATTGTAAATCACTTTCGATGTTGAAACTGTCTATACTTCTTCAAAATCAATGATGAGGTTAGAGACCAAATTTACGTTGTCGAAAGTGCTAAATTCTGTAATTTTATTATTTTTTTCAATATGTTGGTGGACAACTGAAATTTTTTAAGGATGTCATACTCAAAAATGGGTCGGGACTGAGAAGATAAAGCCGATTTATTTGAAGAAACTCTACGGGATTCACATTTCAGTAATTTAAATATTATATCTGATACAGCGTGCGATATCTGGCAGCAGGTACAGCATGGTTCCTACCTCTATGACTGCCATGCAGTATCTGGCTGCAGGTACAGCGTATCTGGTCGTCTGCAGGATCTTGCAGAACAGCAGGCGAACGACCTCCATGTGCAGGCGAGAACCGCTGCCGTCTGGTCTCTGCAGCACCTGGGGGAGTGGTAGGGGGAGAGGTAAGGGGAGTGATAGGGGGAGTGGTAGAGTAAATGGCAGGATTACTAATATAGCAAGTACCCTTCCTAAGATTTAATTGAAGCTAAGCTAAGCTTTAATTTGAACAACTATAATTAATTTATTGTGTCGCATCGCGCGAGTTAAACTATTGGAGTTTAGGGTTCACAGCGCTCTGCCTTCTCTCAGAACCATCCGCCTAGTTCTTACTTCTGCCCGCTAGCGTGCAGCATGCGGCGTCTCATTTAGTGGTGACGAACTCCTGCGTTAGCATAAGATGTGTAGCTAATTCATTGCCTAGAAATCCAGATCATTCATTGTCCATAGCAAGTCTTTGTTTCACTGTGTCTTGTGTTAGTGCTTATTTGATCTTGATAAATCTTCTATGCCCATTGTGAAATGCAATAGTAGTTTTTTAGACTTTTTTTTTGTTTTACTTATTGTCGGCCATTATCGTGTAACCGAATCTCCATCTTCTTTCTGTCCAGACGTGCATAAACTTGATAATAAATAGCGGTTTCAGCGTTACTAGGCCGTAGGCCTGTCGCCGATTCTTAACATCGCAGAACATTAGTGCAGGCGAGAACCGCTGCCGTCTGGTCTCTGCAGCACCTGGGGGAGTGGTAGGGGGAGAGGTAAGGGGAGTGATAGGGGGAGTGGTAGAGTGGTCAGTAAATGGTAGGATTACTAATATAGCAAGTACCTTTCCTACGCTTTAATTGAAGCTAAGCTAAGCTTGAATTTAAACAACTATAATTAATGAATTGTGTCGCGTCGCGCGAGTTAAACTATTGGAGTTTAGGGTTCACAGCGCTCTGCCTTCTCTCAGAACCATCCGCCTAGCTCTTACTTCCGCCCGCTAGCGTGCAGCATTCGGCGTCTCATTTAGTGGTGACGAACTCCTGCGTTAGCATAAGATGTGTAGCTAATTCATTGCCTAGAAATCCAGTTCATTCATTGTCCATATCAAGTCTTTGTTTCTCTGTGTCTTGTGTTAGTGCTTATTTGATCTTGATGAATCTTTTATGCCCATTGTGAAATGCAATAGTAGTTTTTTGGACTTTTCTTTGTTTTACTTATTGTCGGCCATTAACGTGTAACCGAATCTCCATCTTCTTTCTATCCAGACGTGCGTAAACTTGATGATGATGTCAATTGAAATGATGAACAGGATCAACGTGCCACATCTCGTAAGTGTGATGCTTGTTTTGTTTTCTACACTATTGCTGACATTCATACATTATTTACACATAGATGAAATATTTAGATTTTTACCAGCCTAAATTTGTGATTATTCGCAAGGTTCAGTACGTAGCTATCGATTAGGTACAACGAGTTTCTTGCTATTTCGTTACCTTTCAGTGAGATTAAAAGTTCATATTGTTTTTTTTTCGAGTACTACATATGCTCTATTGTTTGCAGATTTACGGTCGAACTTTCCGGCAGTAAACCTGGACTGAGTATCAAGAATGTCTTTACTGTCCTTGGGTTCACCGTTACGGGTTCACCGTTACGGGTTCACCGTTACGGGTTCACCGTTACGGGTTCACCGTTACGGGTTCACCGTTACGGGTTCCCCGTTACGGGTTCACCGTTACGGGTTCACCGTTACGGGTTCACCGTTACGGGTTCACCGTTACGGGTTCACCGTACTTGGCTGAAAAGAGAAGATTTAGGTAGCCTCGAATTCAGTCCAAGACAAATTGAACAACTAAACATACGTGCTAATGATGGTTAATTCAACGCACGGTTTTTAGTTTTTCAAGGTCATCTTCACGAGGGAAGGGCGCGAGGTCATTGAGGGCGGCGAGGGCGCTGTCTGATGTGCTGCCTCCTGCAGGGGGGCGCTGAGGGGCGGCGCCCCTGGACATGTCTGCTGCAGACAGCGACTTTGATCGCTTGATGGCGGGGGTGATGATGGGGGTGGTGGTGGTGGTGGTCATCCCGGCCTGATGGAGTTGTTTGATAACTTTAATTTATTAGTTGAAAAAACATTGAATAAACTTCTATTCACCGTTTATTAAACGTGTGGGCTGAAGTTTCAAATCTCGCCCAAGTACACGTTGCGGCCTAAGTACACGTAGCGGGCGATTGGAATAGTTTCACCTTCAAAAAGTCGGCGATTGTCTGACGGAGATACTAATTCATAAGTACCATTGATTGCAAGGCTCTAACACAATAGCATTTTTGCCTCTTTATGTTGCAGTGATTGCAACTGTATATTTGTACAGAAATTATCTTACGCTGTAGTGCGATTGACGTGATTATTTATTATTCTGAAAAATTTTCCAAAACCTTCAACAGATCCTAGAATCAGAACGACTCGAACCCCATGCACATAATTTAAAAAAAATTATTCATATTTAAATTTATACGTTAAAAATTTAGGCCACTTTCATAAACTTAAAAGCTATTCAGTATCCGTCAAAATATCTGAAATGTTATGTTCATTTCTTTTATTAACCCTCGCTCTACAGGGATGAACCCTCATCCTACAGGGATGAACCCTCATCCTACAGGGATGAACCCTCATCCTACAGGGATGAACCCTCATCCTACAGGGATGAACCCTCACCCTACAGGGATGAACCCTCACCCTACAGGCATGAACCCTCACCCTACAGGCATGAACCCTAACCCTACAAAGATGAACCCTCACCCTACAGGCATGAACCCTCACCTTACAGGGATGAACCCTCACCCTACAGGGATGAACCCTCACCCTACAGGGATGAACCCTCACCCTACAGGGATGAACCCCCACCTTGTAGCCAGGGTCGGCAAGCATCCCTTCGTCAGGGAAGTGAACTCGTAGGGGAGGCGATGCCCCCTCCTTCCCACACCCTCCCCCCACCAGGGTCGTGCCCCCTCTCTTGGGGGTGAGCAGGGGGGTTGCGTCCCCCTTGTGGGGGGCGATGGCCCCCCCGTTGTGGCCGTTAACGGTCACGTGGGATGAACTTTTGCTGTGTTTCAGTGCGGAATTTTTGACCGTTTTTATTGTGGTACCCCCTGTGGTACCCGCTGTGGTACCTGCTGTGGTACCCGCTGTGGTACCTGCTGTGGTACCTGCTGTGGTACCTGTTGTGGTACTGGACCTGATACCAAGCTTTGTGGGCCCCGTGTGGTCCCCATGTGGTGACAACATGACGAACTCCTTAGCGTTGATGTTGAGGCCAGCGGGTGGCGGGGGTGGGGCTGTCTCTTATACACATCTAGATGTGTATAAGAGACTTCACTTGAGCTCATTCATTCTCTTAATTCGTTAATTCATTCCTGAACTGCATTCATATCACTGTGTCAGTTCATTAAATTCTTGACAAGCCACCACATTACTGCATCAGTTCATTAAGTTCATGACAAGCATTCAAATCACTGCATCAGGTCATTCATTTCCAGACATTTCTTACGAACGAGCTCACATGCGGAGTGAAAATCCAGAATACAAACAATTCTGATGAAGGCGTTGTGGAAGGAATGAGGAGACACTGACGTCGTAAATTACTAAGCTTTCACGGCATGAAGGTGATTATGGTTAGCATCTCTCAACGAGAAGCGAGGAAATGTTAAATGGCCAGCCGAAGCCAATTACCTCTTACCGATCGCTGGCCATTCATTGACCATCTGAAAACAGCAGTGTCCAAAAATCCGTACTGACTCAAATATCCCCTTACGAAGACTACATGTTGGAGAAAAGCAGCTTCCAATGTCAGAATAGAGCAATTATTTCACACCGTGGTCGCAAATACCTCCCCACCAGCATTTTATGTTGAATTAAACGTTGTTTGGTTGAATCAACTTATAAAGTCAACCTTGTTTCAAAGTCATTTGCCTCGCGGGCTTTACCGCTCTCTCAACACCAGCCTTAAGGCCGCGGCGTCGACTCCTGCATTACCATCCAATACGCTGCGCATCATGTAACAATTGGTGACATCATCAGAGCATCACTGCACCCACAGCTCTTCACAGAATCACTGTGCCAACAGCTCATCACTGCACCACTGCACTCACAGCTCATCACTGTACCACTGCACTACTACCCCCACTGCACCACTATATACCGCCACTGAACCCAAGTGTACCCACTGCACCAATACACCCACAGCTCATCACTGCACTCATTGCACCACTACACATACAGTTCATCACAGCATCACTGCACCAACAGCTCATCACTGTACCACTGCACTACTACCCCCACTGCACCACTATATACCTCCACTGAACCCAAGTGTACCCACTGCACCAATACACTCACAGCTCATCACTGCACTCACTGCACCACTACACATACAGTTCACCACTGCACCACTACACATACAGTTCATCACTGCACTCACTGCACAGGGGACACGTGGATACTGGGGGACACGTGGATACTGGGGGACACGTGGATACTGGGGGACACGTGGATACTGCGCGCACCAGAAAAAATTTCCGCTGCTGCCGCGCGGCCGCTGGCCGAACTTTCTCGTAACTTTCGCGGAGAAGGAAAAGAAAGTTTAGCGGAGAGGAGAGAAGGAAAGCAGAGTGATGATCTAATTAATCTGTAATTTAGTACATGATAATTGACCTGTTAACCTCATTTATCTAATTAACGAACCTGTAGTTATTTCAGGTTAATTATAACCTAATTTACAGGGATTTCTTTCATTTTTACTTGTCGCGTACGAATAGAAATAATGTGATAATGATCATAATTTCGTGTCGTACTGATCAAGTAATAGAAAACCTAAAATCTTTTAAAATCTTCATAAGAATTTATTTATTAATTTATTATTAATTTTTTATTATTTAATTCTATGTTCGATGTCATGCAGAAGATGAAGCAATAAGTTTAATTACATTAGAAAGAATTAGATCACAAAGTTTTAAATGAGGAATTGAAATAAATAATACTAATAAATGATTTTATATAATCTAATCAAAATAATTATTTAATGAAAATAATTTTATATATATGAATTAACAGAGCTGGGCAGCGCTACTTGGAAATGTAGCGGCGCTACCGCTACCGCTACATGCTCTAAATGTAGCGGGCGCTACCGCTACCGCTACACCCACTAGATTGTAACGGGCGCTACCGCTACCGCTACAGTAAAATGTAGCGCGCTACATTAGCCGCTACAATGGCCAAAATTATTGGAAATCTCTAAATATTTATTGTTCTGCTATTGGGATTTACTTATTAACATTTAATGATAATAAAACATTTTTAAAACATATCAATGCAACTTTATTGCAATTAACCTAACCGAACTAGTATGGGTTACCCCAGGGTTAGATGCAGTAAATAGAAGTTACAGTTATTTTTATGTTTTACCTTCCCTACATGGATGTGAACTTTAATCTACCAATCTAAGAAATTATCCAC